AAGGTAGATTCATTGCTGTATACAACCTGACAATAAATATTAATGTTTTATAATATTTCAAATATTAACAAAATGAATTGGGATAAGATATTAATGCAAAAACATCTTCTAAAAACTTGTAATATTAAAATATCAATTGCTTATGTTTCAGGAAACTAATGGAAAATTTACTTTATTCTAGTCATCTTGAGAAAAAAAGGAATGCTTCTTAACCCATGCACGACGTTTTTTAATCAATGCAGTCGCAAGTTACAGCTTCTTCACTGGCTTTCTACACTTATATTCAAACTCATAACTTCTCCTTCTTAAAGATTCAAGTAAATTTTTATATTCCTTGGTCTTTTAAAACAATTTTAATTCCAATTTGACCCCCATTTTAAGTTTAGAATTTGTTCCTCTGAATGTAGCCATAATAATTTTGACAACTTTGGCAATATTTCTTTGGATGTAACTTCCTTGCAGAAAGACAGTTACTTTTGCATATTTACTAAAGAAAACATCACTAGATTTACCCAATATTAATCCTAAAATAACTCCATTATTCATTAAGTTATTATATGACTGCACAATTAAAAAAAAACAACTTAAAAACAACTGAAATTTTATCATTTAAATTGTAAAGATAGTGTGCAATAATGTTGGTCCCTAAACAGGACATATTAATTGAGTTATGACAGACAAAATTAACTGAAAGTTTTTAATTTTACATAAATTAAACTTACCATAACTTTTATAAAGTTGAAAATATTTTTCAAAAGTAAATATATTTTATAAATTTTCCTAATTAAAAACCAAAAATGAATGACAGCAAGTTAAATTGCACATAAACAACAAAAATTAAACATCATTAATCCCTACCTATCAAAGAAAATACAAAAAACTAACAAAATCTGAACATTTCTCTTTTGAGTCTAATAATTTGAGTAGGTACTGTATATATGTATATGTATATATATATATATATATATATATATATATATATATATATATATATATATATATATATATATATATATATATATATATATATATATATATAAATATATATATATATATATATATATATATATATATATATATATATATATATAATATATATATATATATATATATATATATATATATATATATATATATATATATATATATATATATATATATATATATATATATATATATATATATATACATAAATATATAAACAAGCTGCGTTCTAACAAACTAAGTCTTAATACTTTACTTTCTATCAAAAATACTCAAATTATAAAATCTTGTTTATTTATTAAATTGTCTATTTGTCTGGAATCATAAACAAGTAAACCTCCCTCCGTCATTTTTACCACTAAAAAAAAATCTCCTCATTATCTTCGATCTTTGAGCAACTTTAAATTATCTATCCCAAATCGCTGTTCGGTAAAATACGGTGATAATTCTATTACAAACCAATGAGTAAAATCGTGAAATAATTTACCTTTTCATTTTCAATCCAAATATATATATATATATATATATATATATATATATATATATATATATATATATATATATATATATATATATATATATATATATATATATATATATATTGTTGTTTATATATATATATATATATATATATATATATATTGTTGTTTATATATATATATATATATATATATATATATATATATATATATATATATATATATATATATATATATATATATATATATATATATATATATATATATTGTTGTTTATATATATATATATATATATATATATATATATATATATATATATATATATATATATATATATATATATATATATATATATACGGAAAAAAACACATACTGAAACTTTTTAGTCCCTGTGTAATAAGTCCCTGTGTAATAAGATAGTATATATAATTCTGACAAAAAAATTATGCCAGACAGAAAATTGTAAAAAACTAAAGCATTAAAACCTAAAAGACCAAAACCTAATCGAACTTTGCGATTAAAGATTCTGGTCAAAGATTCAAAATCTCACCCAAAAAATATACATGCGTATGTCAGAAGTAAACAAGAAGTCAAAGATCCTCTTCGTTCGATTGAAACTGACAATGGTATTATTACAACAGATAAAAACATAACTTGCTCCACCCTCAATAACTATTTTCAGTCTGTCTTTGTAACTGAACCTGATGGCAGTATGCCAACATTTCCCGATCGTACTCAAGCAACATGTAAAATTAATTAAAATTGGTTCACAATTAAAGATGTTAAAAATCATCTAAGCAATCTTGATGAGACTAAATCAATTGGTGTAGATGGAATCCACCCACGTGTATTACGTTACTGTGCAGCAGCATTTGCAATACCACTCAACTCTATTTTTAGACAATCTTTATTGTCTGGTTCTGTACCTGAATACTGGAAAAAATCAAGCATTACTCCCATCTTTAAGAAAGGGAGCAAGCTTAAGGCCTACAATTATCGACCGATCTCCCTCCCCTCAATACCATGCAAAGTAAAGGAAAAAATAATTCACAAACATATTATGGCGTACTGTGTGGAAAACAATCTAATCTCTAAGCATCAGCATGGTTTTATTCTTAAAAAGGGATGTCTGACTAACCTCCTCGAAGCTCGCGACATACTTACCGAGGCTATGCATCAAGGTTACACTGCTGATATTATCTACACAGATTTTGCATTCAATAAAGTTCTTCTTCATAACTAAAAGCATACGGCATTCACAAAAAGTTGCTACTTTAGATTAAAATGTGGCTAAAAGATCGTTAGCAACGTGTTGTCTTGGGAGAACACGTTTCTGAGTGGAAGAACGTCACAAGTGGAGTTCCGCAGGGTTCTGTTTTAGGGCCACCGCTTTTTATTTTGTTTATAAACAATCTTCCTGATAGTATTGTTTACAAAATAATGCTACACGCTGATGAAAGCAAAATTATTGGGATCATAAAGTCGGCATCGGATAACACAACGCTACAGGCAGATATTGATAACGCGGTTACATGGTTAAACACTTGCTCATGCACTTTAACATTGATAAATGTAAAGTGATGCATGCAGGTCGTCCTAATAAACGTTTATCACATGACTACTTTATGGAAACCGCTGATGGCATGCACCACACTATTGTAACTACAACTATTGAATGTGACCATGGAGTTCTCATATCAAACGATCTGAAAGTCAGAGCACAAGTTGAAAAAGCAGCATCCACAGCCAATCGCATGTTAAGAAAACTAAAAAATGCTTTCCGCAGTAGAAACTTAACCTTGTGGCGCACACTCTATATATCTTACGTCCGGCCACATCTAGAATTCGCCATTCGGGCCTGGTCCCCGTATCTCGAAACAGACATTAAGTTGCTTGAGGATGTTCAAGACCGCGTCACTAAGACAATATCATCTATCAGCCATTTTGATAAAATAAAGCGTCTGCAGGTACTCAAACTTACTACCCTCAAAGAACGTCGTTTGTGTGGTGATATTATCGAACAATTCAAAATTTTCAACAACTATGAAGAAGTTCATTTTACGGTCCCACAGCACCAACTAATTGTTTATATTACAATGCAATTATTCTCCTGCTGAGATAACAAGATTTATAAAGGATTTTGGCGTAAATGTAATTAATTATAAGAGAGAAAACTATTGTCTATGTACGAGCAAGCCACGAAATAATTTTGATTTTTCTGTACATACAAATACCATAATGCATTGCTTTATGGGAAAAGATCAATTTAATGAATAGCGTCGAAAACAAAAATAAGGAATAATGTCATACTAGTTTTGCTTATCTTTATAGCATACCGCTTTTACAGCGAAAAAAAAAGAAAATAAAGAATAATGAAAGAAAAGATTGCTACCAAACTCTAAACCTTCAGTCGATGTAGCGTCACTCTTTTGCGACAGCAAGTTTTAAGATAGTTGATGTATACACTGAAGCCCCCGGTAGCAGGCTATTTCAGACATGTTATCTAAACATACATATATAAATATTATTATTATTACTATTTTGTTATTATTCATTAAATTCCTTTAGGATATTATTCCTTTTTTTTATTTTCGACACTATTCATTAAATAAATTTGACGCTACTACTTTTTTTGTTTGTTTGCGACACTACTCCGATTTTAATATTTGCAAAGCTATTCCTTTTTTTGTTTTCGACACTATTCATTAAATTCATTTGCGACATATAATATCCATTATACTGCTATTCGACAATCAATAATGCGACAATTTGCGACACTATTCCTTTTTCACATTTTTGACAATCAAATTTGCGACAACCAAAATTTTGCGACACTATTCCGCCACACCAAATAAATCTATATTTTGAATATATTAAAGGGTGCTGTAGACGCCATATACGTCTTTTATGTATTCTTTTTCTCCTTTTTAAGATTTTCCTTTTAATACCAAGTTTTATGAATTTTGATAGGAATTGAAAAAGTTATGACATTTATAGTTAAGAAAAACTCTAAACTCATGAAATACGCAAACTTTACTGCGCTTGCATATAATAACCAATTATTTAGTCTGAACGTCCAGTGCCTGACCTTGAATATTTTCAACATCCAAATATCGTTGTTGCATACTCTCATCTGCCAAATAAACGGGTATCGGGGAGGCGAGGTTTGGGTTGACATTTAGTTTTTAGTTGTTCCCTCTCATCCCCAGCTTATCAGAGTCTCCCCATTTATTAATTTTGAAGAAATGAAACATAATTTTTTTGCTCTAGGAAATCATTTTTTTCATTCGTGTTAAATAAAAAGCGCATTTGAAAAGTTAATAATTTACATATTCAATGAAGTTATGGCAAATTAGTAAAACTTTATTTTTTTAAAAAAATTTCATCTGAAAATCTAATTTTTTTTTTGAATATTAATGTTCCCAGAAGACCTCGCGGTCTTATCGCAGAGCACCGCGGAAGAGCATTTTTCTAGGAAGTCGTCTCAAATTTCCTATGCCCAGACCATGAAAACAGACTACTTGATGAATTATATATTGCATTTAAAAAAGATTAATGTCCGCATTTTAAACTGACTGCCATGGTTTGAGGATTGAAAAAAATATCTCAGTTTTTAAATCTGATAAAAGTTGTTAAATTGTGTTGCATATCCATTACAATATATGCTTCGCACATAGTACCTCGGGTAGATTTTCTTTGATATATTTAGTTACATCTTTTTGAATCTTGTAAATAAACCTAATGTCATAATCAACATTTTCTGAAAGTTAACATAAAGATTTTTGTTAAAGAAATGTTTTGTAAAATAAATAGTTCTTTAAAATATATTACAATTGTAAACAATAAACATTTAGTTTCACTGATAAATTTAAATCCTGGACAGCAAATTGATAATTGATTTCAGCAAACATTAATATTAAGTTTCTGGCATTATTCTTGTTATTATTAAGTTTCTGGCATTATTCTTGTTATTATTAAGTTTCTGGCATTATTCTTGTTATTAAGTTTCTGGCATTATTCTTGTTTTTATTAAGTTTTCCTGGCATTATTCTTGTTATTATTAAGCTTCTGGCATTATTCTTGTTATTATTAAGCTTCTGGCATTATTCTTGTTATTATTAAGTTTTCCTGGCATTATTCTTGTTATTATTAAGTTTCTGGCATTATTCTTGTTATTATTAAGTTTCTGGCATTATTCTTGTTATTATTAAGTTTCTGGCATTATTCTTGTCATTATTAAGTTTCTAGCATTATTCTTGTTATTATTAAGTTTTCCTGGCTTTATTCTTGTTATTATTAAGCTTCTGGCATTATTCTTGTTATTATTAAGTTTTCCTGGCATTATTCTTGTTATTATTAAGCTTCTGGCATTATTCTTGTTATTATTAGGTTTCTGGCATTATTCTTGTTATTATTCAGTTTTCCTGGCATTATTCTTGTTATTATTAAGTTTCTGGCATTATTCTTGTTATTATTAAGTTTTCCTGGCATTATTCTTGTTATTATTAAGTTTCTGGCATTATTCTTGTTATTATTAAGTTTCTGGCATTATTCTTGTTATTATTAAGTTTCTGGCATTATTCTTGTTATTATTAAGTTTCTAGCATTATTCTTGTTATTATTAAGTTTTCCTGGCATTATTCTTGTTATTATTAAGCTTCTGGCATTATTCTTGTTATTATTAAGTTTTCCTGGCATTATTCTTGTTATTATTAAGCTTCTGGCATTATTCTTGTTATTATTAGGTTTCTGGCATTATTCTTGTTATTATTAAGTTTTCCTGGCATTATTCTTGTTATTATTAAGTTTCTGGGATTATTCTTGTTATTATTAAGTTTTCCTGGCATTATTCTTGTTATTATTAAGTTTCTGGCATTATTCTTGTTATTATTAAGTTTCTGGCATTATTCTTGTTATTATTAAGTTCTGGCATTATTCTTGAAAACTAATCATTTTGATCAAACCTCTAGTTTGACTGTTTTTGGTTTGATGAGGTTTTAAATTTTTTTTAATGGCAATATGAGAATCCATTTTAAAGGAGCTCATATCAAACTTGAAGTTTGAACAATATACTCAGATACTTTGTTTATATTATTGCTTGAAATATTTTATTGTTTGTTTCTGTCATTAATATAGCTTCTTCAATATTATATGCAAAACCATTTTTTTAACTCTGTCTATAGTGTCATTTTGCTGTGTTCTAGAACACTTTTTAATTTAACTGATGAAATTCCAAACAATTTTATAAAATTAATAAACTTCATCATTTTTTTTACTTTTTGTAACCACTTCTCTTGTGAAATAAAAGTTTTTTCTACTTTTTTAAAACATCAGCTGCAGAATTTCTAGAATGGCATTATTAAATATACATTTTTTATATGCAAAAGTTTTGCTAAGTCTAGGGAAATCTTTATTTTTTCATTAGATTTTGATTATTATTTTTTATTTTTTTGAACAAAATTAAATAAGTATTAAAAATGAAAACTGAAAGTTTAACAATATATCTTAAACCTGAATAAAATTTTTATAAAAGAAAAAAATTATAAAAAATTTATAAAAGAGTTCATATTTTTATTATATAATGTGTTATTGAGTTTTAACTTTATGTTTTTTATTGTTTTTTTTATTGCTAATACATGTTCTTAAATTTTCCAAATACTTTAAAATTGTGTTGCATATCCATTACAATATATGATTCACACATAGTTCTTAAATTTTCAAAATATTTTAAAACAAATCTGAAGTTTATTCTATAACTAATATAAAAAATTATGCATTTAAAATACAAAATAAAAATAATTCAAATGCAACATAACTATTTTCTAAGTTAGAAATAAAAGAAAATATTTTCAAAACTCAAAAATAGTTTTATTTATTGTGTTCTTCTAAATTGTTTTCTTTTTAAATAATTTTTAATTGTTATTTAATTTTTATGTAAAAAATGTGTGTGTGTGTGCAGGGAATGGGATGTTTGACGGTGGGTGGGATACATTTATACAAATTTACCTTTTTTTGTGTGGATTTTAGTTGAAAATATTAGGCCCATTTTAGCATGAAAAATCAAGATAATGTATGTCAAAATTGATTTTTTGTGTTGCAGATTTTCACTACAATTTTCAGCAGCATTATTGCTACATGTTTTTATCTAACATTTTCTTAGTTATCCTTTATTTAATATGAACCTCAAATGTTTTAAAATAAAAATAATTCTAAGATGTATGGAGACATAGCAAGATTTCATATGGAATGACCCTAACACAACTGTAATTAAATTTCTTTTTAAAATAGATATAAGTATATAACAAGACTTTAAATTGTAAAAGACTTTTGATATCATCTAAAACTTTAAGATGATAATTTAAAGTCTTGTTATATGTTAAATTAGGGGGTAGTAATTGTATTGAAAAAGACAATGTATTAAAAAAAGTTTTTTTTTTTTAATAAAATTACTACCCTAAACCCCAGAAGGACCTTTATAGTCATGGAGGCTACTATTTTTTTTTAAGTTTAAACCAAAATACAAAATATATTTTTTATTCTTTCTTATTTTTAGTTTTCATTCACAAAAAATTATATTTTCTATTGTTTTTTTTTTATATGTATGTGTGTGCGTGTGTGTGTGTGTGTGTGTGTGTGTGTGTGTGTGTGTGTGTGTGTGTGTGTGTGTGTGTGTGTGTGTGTGTGTGTGTGTGTGTATAAAATGCATTTATTTTAGATAATTTTTTAAAATTTCATTTTATAAAAATATGATTTTTTATTTTTCTAATTTTTTTTCTTTCTTTTTACTTTTATGGATTGTTGTATTAATTAGCAATTAGATACTAAATTATGAAAATTATGAAATAATCTACCAACATAGAAGTATAAAGCTAAGGTAATTATTTTTCTTAATAAAATTATAATAGTATGTGTATGTGTATCTGTGCAAAGAGATTTAATTTATTTTTTTTTTAATTTATTTTCTTTATTTCACTTTTTGCTAAAATTGTAACTATAACTTTTTTCATAAATTACTTATTTATTATTTTTCATTTTTCTCCAAGTTTTTAAAAACAACTTCTTGTATTAATTTATCTAGTGGTTTTGTCAGCTCAATCATTTTGAAAAGAATCTTTGCTCAGTCTTTGCAATGACCTGATCTTTTTATAGCAAACCAAAATGGAGCATATTCTTGAGCTATATACTCTGAAGAAGGATTTATCTCTCTAGTATATTTATACATAATAGGTAATGCAAGTGTTAACCATGGTTGGCACTTGCATTACTTATTATGTATAATATACTAGAATGGTTATGTATTGTATATAATATAATAAAAGGATCCTGTCCAGGTTTCATTGTTGCAAATTTTTTTGGGATTTGATCTGTACCTATACTAGTAAGTGACTAGTCTGGGGCCAGGGCTAGGGCCATTTTTTTCAAAATTCATATTATATTTTGTATATATATGCATATATAAACATCATTAAGATCAACATGATCATTATAATCATCATTACCATTGTCATCATTGTCATCATCATCATCATCATCATCATCATCATCATCATCATCATCATCATCATCATCATCATCATCATCATCATCATCATCATCATCAGCATCATTATCATCATCATTATCATCAAGTTTTAGCTTTTCCTAATTATGCTATTTTACTAAATCAATTTTATCATGTTTTGCATTCGGATTTTCTTCAATATTGGTTCTCACACATTCAATATTCTCAGCCGTATACGTGGTTTGAGGGTACCCTGAGTGAGGATCATCTTCAAAACTCTCTTTACCATCTTTAGAAAAAGTAACACACTTGGCAACAGAACTATATTTTGGAGCTTGGTCACCATGAACTAAAACTAATTCATCGGTTATGGCTTGAGCTGAAACTCCAAGTAGAGTATGGGTTTTAATATATGATCAATATTCAAGTTTTTTCCATTTTTAAATTTTTTCTTTCCAACATATATAATAAAATCTAAATAACTTTTTTAATAAGCATTCAAAATGTTTCAACATGTACTTAAGATGTTCATAATTAAACACAGTTTAAGACGATATATAAATATTTAATTATTTCCTGTCTTATTTTAACTTTATAGATGAAGCTCTACAAACTTCTCTAACGACTTAATTATAAATCTTTATTACATGAAACTAATTTTTTAGAATTTTTGCTTTTTGCAATAGATTTTACTTTTCTTTTATTTATTTGTAAAATTGATTGCATTATTTATTGCAAGTCCTTGCACTTTTATCTCAAGTGTACTAATTATCAAATGGCTTTTAAATTCTAATTATCACTAATACTAATTATCAAATGGTTTTTAAATTCAGTCCAATATTGACCTACTAGGTTAAACAAATTCTTGAAGTTCTGTATTTTCTTGGTACAGTAAATACAAAACAACAAACATTTCCAGCAGCTGGAGTTTTACTACTGCATTGGTGTTGCCAATATATATATATATATATATATATATATATATATATATATATATATATATATATATATATATATATATATATATATATATATA